AAGAGCTCGGTTCCTGTTCTTCAGACCCGCACAGCCCACAGGCTCTGTCACGTGCTGCTCTGGACCTGCGGGATGGGGAGCGCCTTGCCCAGCTGCCTGTTCCTTAGCCCTAAACTCTGAAAGTCGCTGGGTACCTGTAGGAGAATTTACTGTTCTGCTCATTCCCTCCCTTCCCCTGGCCTTTTAGCTCTTACTTTAATTTATTCCCAGAGAAGCTGGATTTTCATTAAGGTGTAGGTGTAATCTCTCTGCTCTCACATCTCCTTTGATGTATTTTATCTTGGGTTTGTTTATTGCTTTACATTATTGGTCGTTTGTCATTGCCTTTCTAATGGGTGGTGTATTCTTGAAAAATTGAAATGGTAGCGCTTGCTTTTTTTTTTTCCCAGGAGGAAAGGCAGAGGGTGGGTTTGTAATTTTTTCTTTATTTCAAAGAAGCAGAGATTCAGCTCAGTAATAGTTTTTTTCAAAAGCGCAGTGCATTTTGAAGATGGTATATATAATAGTGACAGACGATGTAAGTACTTTATTAGGAGAAAAAAAAAAAAGGGTGTGTTTGTGGGGAATGAGGAAGCAGAGGAAGGACTGTCGTTCCTGTCTCTCTTCTCCAAGAGTTACTCCTTTTGGAACAGCCGTCATCAGAAGGTTCTAGATTAGTCCTGGAGCTCAGCCCCTTCATTGAGCCAAGGCTGTTCCTAAAGCAGAGGTGTTCCTAGCCTTGGATAATTTTTTAAGCATTAAATTAAAGACATAATGTGTAACTGCTGCAGTGGTTTGGGGGATGAGATCATGTCAGTTTATTCCTTTTGATCCTGTGCTTTGACCAAGGGTGCGATACCCATGGTCTCCAATGCCTGTGGTCTCTGACGCCCATGGTCTCTGACGCCCATGCTCTCCGATGCCCGTGCTCTCCGATGCCCGTGGTCTCTGCGGGTCATCGGGAGCAGCATCCCAACTGCTCCGGTCCCAGGCAGGAGCTGCCGGTGGCGCGGGTGCAGGATCCCAAGTGGCCAGGGGAAAGGCGTGGAGGCTGCCGAAGCCCGGAGCTGTGGGGTGTGAATCAATGCAGTAAAACAGGTGAGAGCAGCTGTGTGCTGCTCCAGGGCTCTCTCCCGTTGCAGGTGGAGGTCGGTGTGTAATCAAACCGAGGGGACACGGGGGCATCGCTTCCTTGCAGCCCGTTCTGCTCTGGCAAACGGAACCGGTCGCTGTCGCTAGTAAACGGGATGTTGGTAACTCGAGCATCCCGGGGATTTGGAGTGATGCCTTTTTTGGCCCGCAGTCATCTATTAGCAAGGAAAGCAAGACTTAAATGTGTTCTGAGCTCTCTGGCTCAAAGCTGTGTTCTCTCTTTAATCTCAGGATTGTTACGTGATGCTTTTCAGCTGAGAAGTGTTAAGCAGAGTGATCTGTACTGCTCTGAAACCTGCATTGATTAGGGAGGAAAGACGTTGCGGGGATGGGGTGTGCAGCGGAGGGAGGTTCCTTCCCAACCCATGGCGTGCGTGGCCCTTCAGGAACCCCCGGCATTCCCTCCGGAGGAGTGCCCACGACTTAGAGACAAAACAAAACACAGCAAAAGGAAAAGGGAGAGATTACAGACGGTGGGGAAGATTTAGGTCAGAAAGACGCTCAAGTGTTTAATAACATAAGGTCCCACGAGCTCCTCTGTTTGCTGACGTGCACGTGTGTGGGTGCAGGTTACAGAGGTAATTCAGGGGTTTTGACGGTGGTTGTTGTTTTGTGTTGTGAATGTGCCGATACACTGAAAGATCCCAGAAGAGCACGACTTGGAGAGCCAGATCCGCAAGGAGAGAGAGTGGCGGTTCCTGCGCAACGCCCGGGTCAGGAAGCAAGCCCAGAAGATCATCCAGAAGGGTGAGTGATTCCCTCTCGCCCTGTGCAGGCAGCTTCCTCCAGCTCCGAGCACCGTCCCGAGTCCGGATGCTGAGCTGTCAACCCCGGCCGATGGGGGTCCCGTGCTGACCCTGGGACGGGCGCAGCGAGGCGGTGCTGCTGCAGGGGGTTCACCCACAGTCACCTTTCCGCTCTCAGCAGCTGGTTTTGTTCTCTAGGCCAGGGCAGTGCCCACTTTAGGTGTCAGCTGTCTGCCTTCCCCTCTGAGCCCTTCCCTGCAGCGCTGCGTTAGAACACGCCGCGGTCGGTCCCAGCGGACGGCTCAGCCGGAGCCCGGCGAGTCCCGCACGGGATGGAGGAGCCGCAGGGATGGAGGAGCCGCAGGGCGATGGCTCCTTTGAAGGAGGAGAGAGCCTGCCATGAAAGCAGGCTTCCCCGCTTATAAGAACTGACAAAGCATCCCATTTCCAGTGCAGGCGTTGGCTCCCGGGCCCTCGCTGCCCACGGGCAGCAGCTGAGCCCTTCAGCCGCGCTCCCGCTCGCAGCCGGCGCCTCCGCGAGAGCCAGAGCCCTTGGCATGAAATCGATGGTGCAGAGCCCGGAACAGATGCTATTGATTTACCACTTGGACTTTTCCTCCCTGTCCCGTAAGGCTTGGATGGATGCTGTAGGTTATGTTTTTAAAGGGACAGAAGGCAGAATGTTTTAGGATAACCTCCAGAGCTGCCGCCTGGCCAAGGCGGCTCCGGCAGCGCTCGCCCTGTGTCGGACGCCGTTGGGGCAACCCGCCCTGCCGAGCTGCAGGCTGTGTTCTCCGGAGACATCTCGGCAGCTTTCACCTTCCCAACTCTGCGAATGATGCTTACTCCTCGTACCTACCCCGCTCTATTTTCCATTCTCGGATGCCCGGCTCCACGCGTGCCGCTGACCCGTGTCCGTCGGGCGTGCCTCGGGTCCGCGTTTCACTATGGGGTACCCCCCAGAAGGCTGACGTTGCTCTTATTGCTGACTCTCTGTGCCTCTGTGAGGCAGCGGTTGGGTTAGAACTCTTCTAGCCCAGGGATTTATTCTCACATAGTGGAACCCGATGACGTTTCCTGGGGAATTCGCAGAGTGAAGCGATTCCTGCCGGCGTGCGGTGAACAGCGGGTGCTGGGCAGCGGCGTTGGGGGACCCCTGGCCCCCTCCCGGCAGCGTTCCCAGGGCAGAACCGGGCTGGGGGGCTGTTCCTCTCCTGGGATGCTCGCTGGGGCACGCAGAGTTGGAAATAATCATTTACTGATAGAGAAGTGTCCAGGCTCAGCCCTCTGCGTGCCTCGCTGGCCGGAGGTTTGCTGGGCTGGACGGGACAATGGGTGGCTTCATGTCATCGGGCTGCAGAGTAGCAGAAACCAGAGCAGGGCAGAAACGGAGCCCAGGAGACGGCCTGGGAGATCTGTTTGAATACCAAGAAGGGGATTTTTCCTTCTTGCCTGAAGAAGTGAAATCTTTTTCTAGACAGTGTTCGCATTTGGTTGCTTGACCTGAGTGGCTGAAATGCCAGTATTTATTAAAAAAAAATGAAAATGTGAAATATTAAAAAGGATTAAAATAGATTTACAATCTTTTAATGAAAATGAGATTAAATGGATGCATCCTGAAACAAACTAGAACTGAGTAAGTGTCTCCTGGGCTTACGGGTGCGTGTGCTGAACTCAGACAGTGACAAGAACGTGCGGTGTCAGGGGGACCGAAGCTGTTTGTGAATAGCAAAGTGTTCTGAAGAAAAGATGGGAAAGGTCTTTAACCAGCATTTTAGTGTCTCCGTGGAAAACACATTTTTCATTTGCAAATTAACCTAAAATTTAAAAGAACCGAAATGGAAGGTTGAATAAATAATCCACAAGCTAAAATGAAATGCTGCCTTTTAAGTTGAAAAAAGCTTTTCCTTTTTTTTTTTTTTTTTCATTTTGAAAAAATAATGTTGACTTTTCTGTCAACACAGAGTAGGAGTTCTCTGAGCTGTTTCTCCAAAGGACCCCCTGGCCTGTCACCACAGATTTTAGTTCAAGACTTAAGACGTGAGACAACCAGCATGGAAGGGTCGGGGCTGCCACATGCTGGGGTCTGAGCAGGTCCCTGAAGGAGGAAGGTGTTGGGGGTCTGATGGTGAGAACTGGGGGGGCAGGAGGAGGGGGACACATGGCACTGGGAAGCTGGGGGGGTCCCAGCCCCATTCCCCGGCGCTGAGCCGCGGCTGCCTCCTGTCCCCGCAGGAATCTCCCGGCTGGACGATCAGATCTTCCTCAACAGGAACCCGGGCGTCCCCTCCGTGGTGAAGTTCCACCCCTTCACGCCCTGCATCGCCGTGGCCGACAAAGACAGCATCTGGTGAGGGCTTTGTCCTGTTTCTTTTGCAGAAGGTTGACGCACGTTGTTAATAAAACGATGGTGAACACCAAAGGAGGAGCCCAACCGAGCTGCCATAGTTTCTCGTGCCGCTGTACCCAGCGGATCTCTCCTGTACCGTACGTAGGGAACCAGGAACTGATGCGATGTTTGTTTTCCTCCCCCAGTTTTTGGGACTGGGAGAAAGGGGAGAAGTTGGACTATTTCCACAACGGGAACCCTCGCTACACCAGGATCACAGCGATGGAGTACCTGAACGGGCAGGACTGCTCCCTGCTGCTGACTGCCACGGGTGAGAACGCTTCCCCACGCGTGCGGGCGCGACGGGCGGTCTCTGCAGCGCCCGCCTCCGGGGGAGCTCTGCTGCTCCGCTCGCTCTCCCAGTTGGAAGAAATCCACTTCTGTTGCTTGTGCTGGTTGGAGTGGAGAGCAGGCAGGGCTGGTTGGAAGTCCTGAGCTTCTGGCGTGGTCGTGAGCGTCTCTCTCGTCCATTATCTCCCCGGGGATGCGGTTCTCCAGAACGCCCTGGAGCCTGAAGAGCCTTCCCCCATTCATTGCTCTGTAAAGCTGTGGGTGAGATCTGCTTCTCTCCCGAGAAACCATTCTAAACCCGGCAGTCGAAGTGTTTTCAATAGCTTTTCAAACTTCATCCTGAAACGCACGGGTTGGGTATAATGAAGAGAGGTGGAAGAGGAGCTGAAAGGGCCTTTAGGACATTTTTCTTTCAATTTATTGATTCTTAGCACAAAAGTTTCACAGGTGGGGAACAAACTGAAAAAATACACAATGTTCTTGAAAGATCTGCTGCTGATGGGCTGGGCGTTGATTCAGCTCCTTCTGTGGGGTCGTGTTTTGTGTTTAGCAGGCTCTCAGCACCAATAGCAAGGAGGGCAGAGAAGAGTCCTAGAGAAGACGAACGGGTCAAAGAAATGGAGCGACATCTAATGTCAGGTGTTGTTCGAGGGAAGGAGAAAAGCTCTTCCAGAACAGTCCCTAGCAGAACAATGCGTTAGCTTTCATGGATGTAGGATTAGAGAGGACAAACAAGTCTAATAGATAGGATGAAGTTCAGGTGCCGCTCTCAGTTTTGGAGTTTGTGTGACTGCCGTTCCGCTTCTGTGTGTCCTTTGTCGTGCACAAGCAGTTAGGGGCGTTGTGTCAGCGGTGACGTTGCGTTGTGTTCTCTTTTCCTCCCCAAGATGATGGTGCCATCAGAGTGTGGAAGAACTTTGCAGACCTGGAGAAGAACCCAGAGATGGTGACGGCCTGGCAGGGGCTGTCGGACATGCTGCCGACTACACGAGGTGCGTCCCTGCTATGTTGTGTTGGGGGAGAGAGGGGGTAACAACAGCTAGTGATGGGCGGGTTTTCTAGGGATGGGGAGAGTAAAATGGGTTTCTCAGCTCCAGCCATCGGTGACACACTTGTTCGACAGTCTCTGCCTTCTGGAATAGCCTTTCCAGGTCTCGCAAAACAAACCGACAAAACCAAAAGCCCAACGCAGCAACCTCACGTACACCCTGAGGAGCGAGCAGAGCAGAGCAGAGCAGCCTCTCGCTGGGGAGCAGAAGGGGACACGGTCCTTGTCCTTGACAAGCTTCACAGCAGCTGTCTCGCCCCAGCGTTCCTCTGTGTTCCTAAGGAGAGAAGTGGAGAGCAGCGGTGGAACCGGGCGCTGCCCTGCTCCGTGCTGGGCATGGTGGAGGGTTGTTCTTCCCCTGGGGGGGATGGCAGCTCCCGTATCGCCTCTTTCCTTCCCATGGGCTGCTCCCCCGCTTGGCGTGTTGCACCTGCGACCTCCTTTAGCCCGAGCACACATCTTGGCGGTTGTTCTTCGCTGTTTATTGTGGGTCAGGAGGTGGCAAGAGAATGTGGGATGTAAATGTGACACGTGCACCAGGACAGCACCGTGGGACCCTGAGCTGCCCTGGGTGGCAGAGGAGTTGGATGGAAGCAGCTGTGGAAGGGAGCATCCACCACAGGCAGGGTGAAACCAGAGGAGCAGCCAGAGCAGCCCTGCTGCAGAGGGATGGACTTTCATCCTCCCGAGACCTCGTAATGAGCAGTGCTCAGTGGTGATTCTCTGTCACTGGGATATTTTTAACCAAGGCTACGAGGCTGTCCAAATGTGCGGCAGTGCAATCAGCACGGGGGATTGATGGGGGAGCTGCCGGGTGAGGCTCCCGGGCTTGTGCTGGGCAGGAGGTCAGACGAGATGACCGTCATCGCTCACCCTGACCTCCGCATCCGACAGCTCTCATTTCGGAGCTGACGCAGTTCATCACAGGAGGACGCAGCTCTCTGAGCCATTCGTTGCGTTTCGCTGCTGCTGCCTTGTTCAGCTCAGATCTCTTATGTTTTTCTCAACACCTCCTGGCTCGTCCCTGGTGTTTTAGGGAAGAGGAGCTGTGTCTGAGGCGGCTTTAGGCGCTGTGCCTCGCTGCGGTATGTGCACAAAACTGATTAGAACTGCTGGAAGCTTGCAGCACATTGTGAAAAGCGCCGTGGCCAGACCCTGCTCTCTGCAGAGACGCCAGTAAAAGCCGGAGGAAAACCGTGGTAATGCACGGCGTGGCGGGAGGCCTGGGTCTCCGTGGATGGGGAGGAGAGCGGCCAGTCGCCATCGCAGGTTGCCCTTTGCAGTGTCATTCGGTTGGTCTCTGTTTCTTCTTGCCCAGATCCCTGGATTCGGGATCTTGCTCCCTTGGTGTCAGGCTCACCCCGTTCCCCAGCCTGCTCTGACCCTTGCTGCGTCATCAGTCGTGTTCAGGGAGGACACTGACAGCTCCGACTGAACTCCTTCGGGCTGATGCCATTTCCCTGCCTGGCCTTCCACGCGCCCCCTCCCAGGGCGCGGCGTTTGCTGGCTGTACCCAGCTCCTGCAGCCTTTGACAGAGCAGAAGGGGTTGTGAGCATCGTGTCTGACGTTGCAGAACAGGCTGAGGGCTGAGGCAGGAGCTGATGTAGCTGTAAGAGTTGAGTGGTTACGCTTGCAAAACAGGAGTGTTGGAACGTTTAACTCTGTTCTCTTTAAGAAATATTTTTGCCCTTTTCTTTCCCTTACGGTCTTAGAAGTGTGGGTCTGCTTTTCTTTGCCTCCCACCTCTGGAGCAGCAGCATTCAGCTCAGGACAGGCTTCTTTGTGGAGAGAGAAATAAATGTAGTCACTTCAAAAGAGCTATGTGGATCAAGTCCCCTTGGAAATGGGGCTCTGAGCAGTTCTCTTCTGCTGCCAAGACCAGAGCTGTGGTCCAGCACTGGCTCAGAAAGCTGAAGATGCATCTTTGAAGCTGCAGAGCTCAGGAGTTTTACTGGAGCTTGTCTGCTCCTGCTATTGATTTCCTTCCCTCCTCTCCCACCCTTTTCCCCTGTGTCATACTCATCTCTGAATTTCATACTTTTCTTGACAGCAACCAGGTTTCTGGGCAGCTTTCCCACTTACGAAAGGAGGGGGGAATATGCAATACCTGAACGCATCCTTCGGGAGCTTGGAAAGCATCCCCGGCTGTCCGGGTAGTGGGAGGTCAACAAGGATGTGCTCGGGGGCTGCGTGGGAGCGGGGAGCAGACCAGAGCGAGGCACGGGGCTTGAACTCTGACACTCTGTAGAGGACTTGTGTGTTGTGCAGCCCAGGGTAAGAGAAGTGAGCTGGCAGAGCCAGGTGAGCGCCTTCAACCCCCACTTCATTGCACTTAATAACTGGCTTGAGACTCAGGGCCGGTGAGTCTGGATTAAGACACGGGCCAGCTAGTGCGTGGGCACCCTCCTTTCCCCAATAGGAGATCTGTTGATTTGGATCTTGTTTGGATCTGTGCTTGTGATGCACCCAGAAAGTCTCTCTCCATCACCATCGGGGTGTGTGAAGCAGCACTGGGACCAGGCACGCTGGCGTAGGGCAGCGACTGGGAACCTCCGGCGTGAGCGGTGGAGGGGGCTGAGAAAAGGCGAAACGCCTGCTGTGGGTAGCCGGGTGCTTCAAAAGATGTCAGAAAAACGCGGCGTTTCTAGTGAGCAGCGTAGGAAGAGCATAAACCTGACGTGCGCTGAAGCTGTGATTTCACAGCAGGAGACTTGAGGAATTCTGGCAATTTCTGTAGAGAAGGGTGTTTGCAGGCTGCGGGTTGGGTGAGCGGTGCGAGAGCCCCATCGCGTGTGTCCGTGCGAGAGCCCCATCGTATGTGTCCGCACCGGAGCGGGGTTTGGAGCCGCTCTGAGCTGCGCTGCTGGCCAGGCTGGGTCGCACTCCTGGGCTGTCTCCTGTGGCAAGTGGCCGTGCTCGTGCTTTGGAACAAAGCGGCTGTATTGGTGTTGTTTCTGTGTGATAAAGGGAAACCAGCCACGCTCCCCGGTCAGAATGGCTTTGCCCTTTAAAGCAGCACAGGTCTGGAATTGGAGAAATCCAGCGGTGTAACCCACTGCTGGGATGGGGGAATCCAGCGGTGTAACCCGCTGCTGGGATGGGGGAATCCAGTGGTGTAACCCTCTGCTGGGATTGGGG